ATGACCAGTATGATGTCTCTGTGTTCTGACAACTTTCTAACTGGCCCCAGAGTAGCTAACGTAACACTAGTGAGAGAGAGAGAGATCTTGTTAAGTAGTTATCTTGCAACAATTATTATTTTATAAACCAGGCATATCTTATTCACGTAAGTAAATATCTCGTAGTTGTCTTGGACTAGTTAGAATAGAATGATACCTGGTTACCTGGTTACCTGGAGGTTATTCCGGGGATCAACGCCCCCGCGGCCCGGTCCATGACCAGGCCTCCCGATGGATCAGGGCCTGATCAACTAGGCTGTTACTGCTGGCCGCACGCAGTCCAACGTACGAGCCACAGCCCGGCACTGACTTTAGGTATCTGTCCAGCTCTCTCTTGAAGGCAGCCAGGGGTTTATTGGCAATTCCCCTGATGCTTGATGGGAGGCTGTTGAACAGTCTTGGGCCCCGGACACTTCTGGTGTTTTTCCTTAGTGTACCAATGGCGCCCCTACTTTTAATTGGGGGCATTTTGCATCGTCTGCCCAGTCTTTTACTTTCGTAGGGAGTGATTTCTGTGTGAGTGACTTCACTTAAATATATCTCTGGAATAGATTAGTAAGTTTATTTAGGCACAGCTAGACTTAACTACAATTATCATAGATAGTATAAATTACCTAGGATAACCCAAAAAAGTCAATGTGACTTATTTCTATATAAACCAGGTGACATGGAAATGTATATCTAATTTTAGGTTGATACATCTGTACCACAGTGGGGATTTACAAGGCGCTGTGAGGATATTTTTATCAGATATCCTCTAGATCACACTGCATCAGACACTATCAATGACCTTATAAGAGGTGTTCGATCCCGGGACCACCGGACTCGTTTTCACATATGTTTCTGTATATTATACACCACTTGATTCGCGCTCTGTATGTTTGTTCACGTCCCTTCCTATTATTACCTTCATGCGGTAAGCGCTAAACCCGCGGGGGAGGGGTCATACAGTGCCCCGGGGATAGGGAGGAATCAGGCTGGAGTCGAGGAGAGGATAGGTAAACACCATGTGCAGGTTATTAAATTTTATTTATGAAAACGATTCGTCCACCAGGAACTTATCAATTCACACTGTCGGTATATTCCACCAGCGTATTACCGTGGAGATGGTAGCTCTAAGTCCATGTATGAGGAGCCCTCGTCTCCAGCACCTGGCTTCACATCCTGTTGACAAATGTGTCGCTTCGAGATGCTGTTGACATGGATATTGTATTGGAAACTCCAGCCACCGCGGATATTACTACACCCAGTGCCACCTGTGCTCCAGCTCTCCTGTCAACATTATTAATCTACTTTTATTGTTATTTTAAAATGATTACATTAATTAAGAAGCGATAAACTAGTTATACACACTTGAAGTTCAAAACCTGCTGTAAGTTAAGCACCCCTGTATTTTTTTGACTGCATCCAACTTTATTATTTAGAGCATATACACCGAGAGGTGTATGCCTCAATGTATATGCAGTCCAAGGTTACGTTAATTCATTTGTAAGGGATTAAAGTATTCCTGACTGATAGTGAGGAGGTTACGTGCAGCCTTAATGATCCTCGTGTAGTCAATAAATTTTAAACTCCACCAACCAACCTGTTATTCACGGAATACCGGCTGGTGAACGGGAAATAATGGGGTTCTGTCCCTTGATGAAGAGGATGGCTCCAAGTCACTGTATAATGAGCCTTTCAAGAAACACATTTTGTTTCCACTGTGTAACTACCACTGCTACTACTTCCTCTACCAATATTACCTCTACCATTACTTCCCCACTTCATTCTTTTTTCCACTCTTCGTCTTGTCCATGTCCTCCTCTCCTATATATACTGGCTCCCTCACCTTCGTGTGTTAGTGTGACTAATCAATGGTCCAAGTCGGATTCTTTCTCCTATGTACGAGTTATTTACGTATACAGAATAGGTGAGCAGCACAGTATCGACGTATCCAATGTTGAACTAATTAATACGGGTTTGTCAGCACTTACCATCTGTCCCGTAGCTCGATTGCAGCGCACTCAGCTCACACACTAAGGTCTGGGGGTCGATCCCCGGTACGGGCGGAAACATTAGGACGTGCTTAAGGTACCTACTGTCCATGTTCACCCATCAGTAAAATAAGTACCTAGGTGTTAGTCTACTGGATAGGTCGAATTATTATTTATTATTATTAAAGATTAGCCGGTATTCTCCCGGCCCGGGCCTTTTCCAAGTGGTGGCCCGGCCTTGGCTCCCTCTTTAGGGAGTGTCTGAGACCGAAGTCTCCCATGGGAGGAGGCACAAGTACCTCCTCATCTTTGGGACCAACTGTCCCCAGGCCTAGCCACAAGCTAGGCCTCTCTGGTCTGCCATCCCCGCCCCAAGGGAGCAAATGGGAATGACAGTCTTATGAGCTAAAAGCTCGGACTCAGGCACCTACCCTACCCTAGAAGGGTTAGGCATGGTGTCGATGGATAGGTCGAATCCTGGTAAC